ACAAAGACAGTAAATTTTAAGCGTAGTTTAAAAGATAAAAAGCATTTTATGAAAGTTTGACCTTACTTGACCTTGAAGAAAAGGTCCAAAGTGACGTGATATTTAGATTCACCATATATCATTACCTATACAAAATAATACAAACAGTAGCAGTAAGAAACATAATTTTAAATAGCTCTGTATAGCATTATTATCACTTTGACCTTCACAACTCCAGTCTACAGTCCTACAGAGTTTGATCAGAATTCATGCAAGACTTTTATAGTTGGTGTGTTTGCAGACAGAATGACAAAATTGAATGCACACACACGCAAGCGCTACCGAAAATGTAACCTCCTTGGTTTAGGTAAAATTTTTAAAAAGTGCATGAACTTTATGACATTACTCCAACTTAAGTTTCATCTTACAAGTAGGATTATAATTAAACGTATGCTATAGACCTTTGCTGAAGCATCAGGCACAAGTGCATTTTCATGATAATATCTGTCTATTTTTAGATCAGATTTCATTATGCCTCTCATGTATAATCATAATGTTTAAACACACACCCACGCATGTACAAAAATGGTGAACAAGACAGCATTTGGTTCTCCGAGGCAGTGTCCTTGTACAGTATCCCGGTCTATTCATAGTTGGTTACATCAGCACCCACACTTGCCAGCTTGCTGGTTCCTCTGAGCTGTAACCAGCCAGCTGGTTTCAACTCGCCATCTAATTTTTGAGGTAGCGTGTCAGGCATGTTTCCCCTGCAATGCCTCCTAAATGTTGGTCTTAATGAAGCATAGTAGCTCCGAGAGCAATAATAAAGCGTGTGTGTTTAATCACTTCAACAAAATAGGTCTCCCAACTGCGGCTCAGATGGGAGACCTATTTTGTTGTTTTAAAACGTGAAACCGATCACTGGTGCAGCTCATATGTAAACATGGTTACACTTTGCACTGGTGTGGTTTGGTTGTGAAGGATAAGAGAGCAGACAAACACGGTGAAACAGCTTATCCTTCTTGTTCATTTTAGTGCAGTTTACACCACAGCCTACTGAAAATTGACTTGTTCTGTGAAGAATAAAAACAATCTCCTTAGGGCAGTGTACCCTGGTCCCCTGCTTATTGCACCAGTAAGAACCTTTTTTGTAAAAAGCTTTTTGACACGAACCTGTTTTTCTGTGCAGGCCCATCTGCCATTTGCTGTAGTCGGGAGTGTGGAAGAAGTCAAAGTGGGGAACAAAGCAGTGAGGGCCAGACAGTACCCCTGGGGTGTCGTTCAAGGTGAGAGATGCTGACAAGAAATTTAACCACAATATGTTGTGTTTGTATTTTACAATCAAATAGCTGGTTTATTAAAGGATCATTTCTTGTTTGATTAATTTTTCGGGACTACTACAAAAAGAAAGTGTTTTGTTTCTTGTAATATACCACATATTATATATCCTCAGTTAGAGAAAATGGTTATATTCCATAAAGTACTAGTCACAACCGGCAATGTTTTTTTCCGGTCCTTTGTCCAATCTTGGTGAGCCTGTGCAAATTAATATCTGACAGGAGTGGCACCCTGTGTGCTCTTCTGCTGCTGTAGTCCATCTGCTTCAAGGTTTCAGGGTGTTCAGAGATGCTCTTCTGCATACCTTGGTTGTAGTGAATGATTATTAGTTTTGCCTTGCTATCAGTTCAAAGAAGTCTGGTCACTCCCTTCTGACTTCTGACATCAGCAAGGCCTTTTCTTCTAGAGCACTGCTAGTCATCAGATACTTCTTCTTTTTTGAACCATCAGTTTCTGAATTACTCAGCACAACCACTCTGAATGTGGCATGGTTTTTGGTGCCAAAGTTGCCTAAGTGACCTTTCTTCCCCTTTCTAATGCCCTTGTTTGAATTTCAGCAGGTCATCTTGACCATGTCTCTTTACCTAAAAGTACTAAGTTGTAATTGGCTAATTAGGCATTTGCATTATTGAGTGTTTGAATAGGCGTACCTAATGTGTGACAGGTGACTGTTTGGGATATTGGCACAAACGCTGAACTGTTGTACAGTTGCTGTTACGCCGTTTTATAAGTTTGCTTGATTTTCTTGTTTTTGCTGTGCTGTGAATGTGGCTGAAAGTGGTCATGTGGGATTTTTATCTTTTGTTTATTTTTATATATCTGAGGAAGTAGGTGACTCAGTGTCCTTGTGCCTGTGTTTGGGTGTTCATGTGGCTGTTTTACCATATTAAAAGTCATACCAGGCAGTAACTCTGTATTTGAGAAAGTAGAATGAGAAAAACAATAAAGCCATTGGAAAGAAAAGTAACCTGAATTATTATGTACAGTAAAAAATAATATATGACTGACAAAGCTCTGAATCATATGATTCATTTTTAATTAAAAACAAAACAAAATAAAAACTAGTAGCTGGACTCACTACTTTTTGTTGTTGTTCTTGTTTTTTTATTTGTTTTTTGTTTGTTAAGGACGTTTTACTCAGTTAAGTATCCTTGGTGAAGGATGTTTCCTGCACGTGGCAGAGTGGCGAGTGCATCCCATTGTTTTCCTGTTTATTTTTACCCATTAATGCAGAATGCCCTCCACAGCTGACAGTGTCACTTTATGCAGAGTGACACTAAAATGAAGTATGGAGATCGTTTTGACAGTGTCTCTGTGCGCACGCAGACAGTTTATCATTAACGATGTCTCGTCTTTAGCTTCATGCATTGTGTTTGTAGGCGTGCAGAGCCTGGATGTATGCCTGGATATTGGCATGAATGCGTTGCCCGTGGAGACGTCGGGTTTCTTGGGAGCTTTTGTTTCCCACAGCTCACACAGCTCATTCCTCTGTGTTTGTCAATGATGGTAAACAGTTTAATTTAATAATGACACACACACACACACACACACACACACACACACACACACACA